TTTCTATTTAGTTGTATTTGTTTATTCATCTTTATCATTTTTATATTATTATCATTTATATCTATTTTCATTTTATATTTATTCTCTTTTGTTTTATATTAATATTAATTTTATCTTTTATATTTTGATTTTATTATTATATCATTGACTATCATTTCTCGTTTTATTTATCATTTATTCTTATTATTCTTTTGTTTCTTTATTCAATCTATATCATATATTCATATCATTTATATTTATATTTTATCACTTATTATATATTATAATAATAACATAACACATATGATTGAATATATAATAAACATCATGATGAAATTATACACATATAAATAATAAACATAAAAAAGAGTAAAATATTTTTCATTAATAAAATATTGTTAATCATTTTATATCATTAAATTATACACTTTTATTTCATATTTCTAATTTTTACAATAAAAATACACTTTTTATTTCTTCTTTCTTTTCTTCTTTTATTATCTCTTTGTGTTTTATTATTTTTATATTCTTTCTTCTTCTACTTTCTTTTTATTCTTTTATATATTTATATTCTTTTATATTATTCTTTCTTCATTGTTGTTTATATTTGTTTCTTCTATTATTTATCAATTTTATATTCATTTATTCTTTTTATTTCTTTTTTATTAATTCTTGAGTATTGTATATCTATTTAATATTTCATTTGTGTATTATCAAATTATATGTTTTATTGAATTTATGTTGAACAAAATATTGAATAATTCAATATTTTCATTCTTAATTATTCATTATTTATTCTGAAATGTTGTTTATATTTATTATATTAAATGAATATGATGAATAAATATCAATATTATTGTTTATTTGATTTTAAAAAATAATCAATGAATATGAAATAATGAAATAAAATAATGAAGACAATGAAATGATAATGAAATAGAATAATCTAATATTGAACAAATCAAATAAAGAATATATTGAATATATCATTATTGTTACTTTATTATTTGTTATTTCAATTATTAAATATTATAAATTATTATTCATGAATATTTGATTGATTGATATTTTACAATTTCATTTTCATTTTATTTAATAAATGAAATATAAATAATAAATGAATGAATAATAATTTAATATATGAAATAATAAAAAGAAATAAAAGATCAATAATAAAGAAATATGATGTATTTAATACATAATATAATTTATTATCAAATATAATAATATCAAATGATGAATTATTTTTATTTCAAAATATTTTGCATCAATAAAATATGTTGCTAAATATTTTGCATCATTAAATTTTGCATCATTAAATTTTGCGCTTTTTTTATTTGTTTCAATAAAATTTGCATCCTTTATTTTTTTCTTTCTATTCTTCTTTTATCATCTCTTTTGTTTTATTACACTTTATCTTCTTTCTTTTTATATTCTCTCCTTTCTACTTTTATTCTTTCTTCATCATATTCTACTTCTTACTTTCTTTTTATTCTTTTATATCATTCATTCTCTTCTTTTTCAATTATATGATTTTTTTCGTAGCCATTTTACTTTTATACTACTATTTTACTTTTATACTACTATTTTACTTTTATACTACTATTTTACCTTTATATTCCTATTTTATTCTTATACTACTATTTTATTCCTATATTCCTATTTTATTCTTATACTACTATTTTATTCCTATACTACTATTCGACTATTCTCTCCTGTTTATCTATACACTACTTTCCTACTATAGTACTTTCCTATTCTACTACTTTACTACTTTACTACTTTACTATTCGTTTATTTCCTGTCTATCTATACACTATAAGCACTTGTGGTCCAATGGTATGACGTATCCCTGCCACGGATGAGACCCGGGTTCGATTCCCGGCAAGTGCACTTTTTATGCTCTTATCCTTATGTATTATGTCCTTTTAGACTAAAAATATATCATCTATACTATATATATATTTATATTATACCTTATGTATATATTATTATCTTATGCCTTATTCACTTCTACTTTTAT